CTCAAAAAGGATAGCTTCATATGGTCTAAAACAGCATAATCAGCTTTTGAAATGTTGAAAGAAGAAATATGTTCTACCCCCGTGCTAGCCCTTCCTGATTTCAGCCAGCCTTTTATCATTGAAATTGATGCCTGTCAAGGAGGCATATGGACAGTGCTGATGCAAGGAAGGAGACCTCTAGCCTATCTAAGCAAGGCAATTGGCATTAGGAATATAGGGCTGTCCATTTACGAGAAGGAACTACTGGCACTAGTTACAGCGGTTTGTAAATAGAGACAGTACCTGGAGGGCCACCACTTTATAATTAAGACAGATCATCAAGCACTCAACTACTTACTTGAGTAAAGGATCACAACTCCTCTTCAACAAAAGTGGCTTACCAAACTTTTGGGCCTAAGCTATGAAATCATTTATAAAAGGGGAGTAGATAATATTGTTGCAGATGCCCTCTCCAGGAGATATGAAGGGGTTCTTGAGTTTTCCCACATCACAGTGGTCCAACCTACGTGCGTTGAAGAAGTTCTAGGGAGCTATAAGGATGATAGAGAGGCAGAGGAGAAGATTCAATCATTGTTGGTCAGCCCCAATTCTGACCATGATTTTACTTATGAAAATGGATTATTAAAACACAAAGGGAAGTTATTTGTTGGGACTGGAGGGGACATTCGATCCAGACTGATTCAGAACCTACATGGTTCAGCCGAAGGAGGCCATTCAGGCATTATAATAGCCTCTATCGAGCAAAACAACTATTTTACTGGCCAAAAATGTTACAGGAAATCAGACAAGTGGTACTTCAATGTGAAGTTTGTCAAAGATGCAAAGGGGAACATGTTCCCTACCCAGGGCTATTACAGCCCCTTCCCCAGCCTTTACACTCATGGAGTCACATCAGCATGAACTTTATTGAGAGATTACCCAACTCTGGAGAGAAAAACACGATTCTGGTGGTGGTAGATCGTTTCACAAAATGTGGACATTTCTTGGCCTTGATACATCCTTTTACTGCTTCCTCAGTGGCACAACTTTTCCTTGATAACATCTACAAATTACGTTGCTTGCCTCTTAGTATAATCTCTGACAGAGACAAGGTCTTCACCAGCAAGTTCTGGCGAGAACTCTTCCTTCTCCTAGGGACTAAGTTGCATTACAGTACAGCATACCACCCTCAAACGGATGGGCAAACTGAAAGAGTTAACCAATGGGTGGAAATGTATTTAAGATGCTTACTTTACTAGTATCCTAAACAATGGGAAAGATGGCTGGCTCTGGCTGAATGGTGGTACAACACCACCTATCACACTGCTATAAGGATGACCCCGTTTGAAGCTTTATATAGGATGAAACCTCCTCAACTGGCACTAGGAGCCTATCAGCAATCCAATGTAGCTGATGTTGACAGTTTGCTACAAGAAAGGTACAAGCTAGATCAACTTCTGAAGGAAAATCTGACAAAGGCGAGGGCAATGATGAAAATTTATGCTGATAAGAAGCGAACGGAGAGATCTTTTGAAGAAGGTGATTGGGTTTTCCTTAAGCTACACCCCTATACTCGGCAATTAGTCGAACAAAGAGCTCATCACAAACTGAATGCTAGATACTTTGGCCCTTATCAGATTGTTAAACGAATTGGAGAGGTAGCCTACCAGTTGGCCTTACCAGAAGGAACAAAAATCCACCCAATTTTTCATGTATCCTTGTTGAAAAAGCAACTTGGAAGTAACGTCTTACTAGTCCTTCAATTACCAGAAGGGAACCAGACCCTACACTCTCTTCATCAGCCTCTTTCTATCCTTCAATCTTGCAAGGTACAGCGCAGGAACAATCAGGCCATCCAGTGGCTTATTCATTGGTCAGATGCTTCATGAGAAAATGCAACTTGGGAGGACTCCGAATGGATTAAGTTTCAGTTCCTTAATGTCGATCTTGGGGACAAGATCAAGGTGAGGAGAAGGATTGTTATGGATGGAGCAATTGGGGTAAAAAAAGCAAGAAGAAGCTCCCCAAAAAGAAGAAACCAGAAGGAAGAAGAAGAGAAGAAGAACCTGAATTAACAAAAATTCGAAATCGGAAACGGCGTCGTATGGTTCATCACGAAACGGTGTCGTTTTGATTTAATTTTAATTGTAATGAAGAAACATGTTTTTCCTCATTTTCATCTGTCTCTATTTCACGCTTTCTCTGTGGAACCTATATACACACAAGCCATGTATTCTCTGCATTTTATTCACGTGATTTGTTATGAAATTCTGTTAGCTATTGGATTGAACTATCAATTCAAGCTTATCTCTCACCTCTTCTCAATTTTCCATCATTTTCCCCTCCCCAATTTCTATTTTCCTTCATTAATTGTTCAATTATTCAGCTGATTTTAGCCGAATCCAGTCACAGAAGCTTTCCAGTGAAACAGGAGCTGAGTTTGGAGCTCGAGTCGTGACAGGTGGCTACCGCATGAACCCCGACTGGGTCATCAAGCATGTCAGCTACGAGGACGCACAAGGTCTTCTGATTGTAAAGATAAATCACCAATGAATCTTCTATATTGATCAGGATTTTTGAATAATTCACCATCTAATGGTGAAAGCTTCAGGTTTTGTTCCACAGGGGAATGTGACTGGAGCAACCCCAAGAACATCTATTTCATCAAGAACATCCAAAATATACTTTCGTTGTGAGATAGAAATGACTTCTTTGGAACGAGCCACTTTAATTCCCGAGAAGTATTTCAATTTTCCAAATCTTGATTGAGAAGCCTTTCACATTTGTTATGGCAGAAAAATCATTTCCTATAATAATCGTGTCATCTACATTAAGTAACACTAGCTTAGCTTGTAGTGTATTTTAATTTTCTTTTTGTGATGCATTTTTATATTTCCTTTTGCAATCAATATTCATACAACAACCTGTGGCACCTCTAACCCACTTTGAATTTTATGACGTTCAATTGCACCCTTGGTTAAACCCTTATTTGGCTTTGTTAAAAATTGGATTTTAGTAAATTTTGATAAAATGTATAGTTGAAAAGTTGATAAAAATTGTGAATTCATTCTCACGTGAATAGCCAACATAGTTGCAATTAGACTCAACGAGATAGGGTACAATGCATTGTGCTACTATAAGCATGTTTGGTTGGGGCATAAGAGAAGTAGCCATCTTATAAGTAAAATAAGTACTTATTATAAAGCTCATATGTTTGGATGTAATGTTTTAAAACCCAGATCGGACATTGACTAGGAAAAGCAAAACGTTCAAGGGATAAATGATAAAATTGGGGTCGAATCGAAAAGTTAAATAAAAATAAATAAATATATTTTCAAATAATAAATAATAGTATAATATTGTTAATTGAATATTTGGAGGGTCTTTCATTTTTTTCTTAAATTAAACAAGGTAGAAAAATAATTTATTTATTCAAAATCACTACAAAATTTGATTGCCACTCCAAAATCACAAAAAATATGTGATTAAAAAGTTAATAAAAGCTGTGAATTTCACAAAATTTTTTTTATTAAAAACGAGTTTGATAAAATAAATGAGTTTTAAAGAATATGGACCCATGGACTAAGAAATACTTTTTGGCGAAATTTGAACTTATAAGCAAATTTGACTATCTTATAAGCTCACCCAAATGTCCTCTATGACTACCAATAGTACAACTATTCAATGCATTCTTGGCCTAAGCGCACATTTTTAGGACCGGATAAAACTCTCGAGCCGAGCTGAATCGAACCGGACTTGAATCAAATTGAATCAAATAGAGCGGTTATTCTTAAATTAAATACTCGAACGAGTATCTAAATAGAAAACCAACTGTTCAGTTCGGTTCTCGATTTTAGACTTAGAACCGAAAAACTAAATAAGAACTGAATTTCCTTAATTTTTTTTATCTTAAATAAGTCAAATTATTTTATTTTTTCCTAAATGAATTTGCTAACTAATTAATTTAGCTCATACCTAAAATATGATTTTACTATTTTTAATTTTCAGCAAAGTCCAACTTAATCAATTTAACCTAAATTTTACTAAAATCTCTTATTCTACCGTAGTATTGTTTCTGTCGTTATATTATTGTGAACTTGCTACTTTTCTCTTCTTGTGATTTTAACAATCAAATTTATGAAGAACTCAACAAAGAGATTTGCAAAAGATATTACCAGATTGGACTACGTTATTTTATAGAGTTAAGATTGGACATGTCATAATTGAATTAATGTAACGTTGTTATAAATATTAAAAAATTAAATATTGTACGAAACTCGAGAGCCAAACCAAATTGCATAATGGAACCGAACCCGAACTGTTCTAATTTTGGGATCTATTTACTAAATATCCGAAAAATCCTATTCAATTCAGTCAGGAAGAGAACCGACGATTTCCAGCCCTGCACATTTTCCTACTTATTCACTCTATTGCACTCCGTTTCTCTAAATTCTCACCGGGGCCTGAGGAAATCAAGCCTTTGTCCCTCTGGAATCCTGTATGGGGACAAATATCGAGGATTTGGACAACAAATTGGAGAAGAAGGGGGAACAAAGTCCACGTATGAGGAAACAATTGGATTTGGTTATGAACAAGGAAGCGGCACAGCTTCATTAGTTCAATTGGAGGAGCAATATAAAGAGTTGAACAAGAATAAGCCATTTTATTTGTTTAAATATCTGTTTCATGTTATAAGATGACTTGTTGACTTGGATTGAGAATTTGAATGGCAAATGCTTGAGGAAATTGTGTCATCTGGGCCATGTTTTATTTGAACACGCAATATAAAGAGTTGAACAAGAATTTTCTATTAGATTGGCTTGACTAAGTAAAACGACCTTTGAGGTTAAACAAATAGAAGTTGGCATTAGTTGACTTGAACAAATTTAATTAATGGATAAGTTGTGATCTCTTCACACTGTATTTGAAGATTGAAGCATAAGTGGAAAAGCAGCCTCTTTCTTTAATCATTAGCTTTTTCAGTCTCTGATCATTGAATCTAAGAACAAATAACGAGATTCATGGCTGAATATGTTGTAACCTTTGTTTTGGATAAAATTGCCAGCTATCTGATAGAGGAAGCTAATTCATTGTCTGATATACATGATGAGGTTGCTTCGATTGAAGGGGAATTAAGGCGAATGCAATGCTTCCTTAGAGATGCAGATTCGAAACAGGATGCAAATGAAAGAGTCAGAAATTGGGTGGCAGACATAAGTGATGTTGCATATGATACTGAGGATATTGTTGAATATTACACCTTTAGATTGGCCCAATGTAGGAGAAAAGGATTCTTGCCATTTTTCAAAAGGTACGTTTTCTCCAATGAGTTGATTTTGCGTCGTAAGGTTAGGGAACAGATCAAAGGGATTCGGATTAGACTTCAAGATATAACTAACAGTAGATCAACTTATGGGATTGAAAATATTGTTGAAGCGAGTCAAAAAGCAGGTTTTGCAGCTGGCAGTCTCCAAGAGAAGAGACGATCCTCTCCTTATGATTGTGAGGAGGATGTCATTGGTCTTGCTGAAGATACAAAAGCAGTTGAAGCACAGCTGATTTATGGAGAGTCCCGGCTATCTGTCATTTCAATTATTGGAATGGCAGGCATCGGTAAGACCACTC